TGAAGGCGCTGTGTGTTTCGTTGTGAAAGCGAAACTACTTTGTTTGGCCTTCCAAAAATGGACACGACTAGAAATCAGTGGTTAAGTTGTATTGGAATGCCTCGTTTATAATGGGTTTTCATGTTTTTGAATCATCACTCCGGCCTGACAGGGCATCATCACAATATGGCAAGGGGCGTAACATTTCCGTCTCACGCTTGAGGTATTCGGCCAATCACAATGCACTGGATAGCTGGCCAATCACATCACATCTCGCTTTTTCAGACCGATGAGCTTTGTAAATATTGATGCGTTTCAGAAAGGCGGGGCATAGAGGAGAAACAATAATGTACAGTATGTGGAAAATAATGTGTTTTTTGAACCTTAAACCGCATAAACACATTTCATTACACCAAATACTGTTCTTTTTAGCAGCATCATATGACCCCTTTAAGTACATTATGTATTATAATAAATACCTGCAGAAGGCGCCAACGGCCTGGTGACGTTTCACTTTACGCGATCCGGCACGGTGTCGGGGAACTTTAAGCCCTGTATCCATTTTTTACAATGCATGCAACATTTAATGCCATGACTTTTTGAAGTTAAGACCTTTTAAGACCTTAATTTGTGAGAGGGTGAATTAAGAATTTAAGACCCACAAAAACCCTGTATTCCTCTTTTTTTCTTAATGTATCACATTTCTCATAAAAGGTATTTGAAAGGGTGCAAATATAACGGATGAAAGCAAAATAAAAACATCTGCATATTACAAAAAAAGGTTGTTGGCATCGTAGTTTTATAAAAATTAACACCTGGGACATAAAATGTCCGAAACGGAATAAACACCTAAAAGTGCCTGGCAAATGCATAAATATAGTAAGTATGTGCACAGTCGAAATTTCCTGGCTTTTTTCACGATTACTGAGGTCTAGGGGCTATTTAACTACCATACAAGTTTCAAAACAGTCAGTCCACAGTAAAATTCACACAGCCTGCAACAACGTTTTATAAAATATAAAACTTACGCATGTGCCAGTTTTTATACCAAAAATCATCTAAGGGAATGATTAAAACTAACCTCATCTTTCCTCTTTTTGGGTCGGCTGTCTTCCCCACCATCTGTGTCAGATTCTCCTTTCCTCTTTCCAATAGAATCTTTCTTTTCATTTAACTTATGTTTTTGCAGGTATTGTGCAATGAGATCAGGACAGTCCAGGTTGTCCTCTGGTTCCCATGTGTTGTCTTCTCTAAGGAAAAGGTAATATATTCTCAATCATTTGAATACCATCTTTTTTATTGGAGAAGGGCTGGACCACCCAACCAAAACCAAACATAGGCTATATATTTATTAGCAAACCATTGATTCTTCTGGAGTTCTTTATATAATGACAAAATGGTCAACACGTTTGTTAGGAATCAAGCATCTTGCCTTATACGAATGCATTTTAGTGGAAATCTTGCTGATATTAGTTACTTACTCTGAGAAGCCCTTCCACTTAAGAAGGAACTCCACTCTGCCCTTTACCACCCGTCTGTCCAGAACCTTCTCCACCACATATTCTTCCTCTTCCTCTTCTACCACCACCTCCTCCACCTTCTTCTTGTTCTGCTTCTTTCCAGCTGTGGCCGCCAGCTTGCTGTCTGTGGAGAAAGAGGGCAGTAAAGAGGAAAAGGGTCAGTCTTTTCTATGGAAAAATCACATCTTTCAGTATTCAAACAGTTAAAAAATGAAGCAGGTTGAAACACTAGACACTATGGGGCTGAGCAGAACAAACACAAACAGTGATAACTCACTAGCAGGGGGTCGTTCGCAAAGAGGAAGAGTGATTATTCAAGGGTTTATTTTAAAGAACATATGCCAAGGTCAACGAAGTCTGTCTGTTGACAAATCTTCACACATCTTTTTGCTATACAGAGCAATGTGTCGAAATTCGAGAGACATTCTGACTGCTGTGTAAAGCCCACAGCGCTTAGTGATAAATTCTTGCTTTTGAGAACAAGGTCAGAAACTACAAAACTAAAATTCATTCAAAAAGGACATCAAAATCAAGGTTTCAGTTTCATCGTCCTTAAAGGGACAGTTCACTCCAAAATAAAAACTCGGTCATCAATTACTCAGTCTCATGTTCCAAACCTGACTTCGTTTCTTCGCAGAAGATAAAAGATAATTCAAATAATGCGTCAAATGTTTTCCAACTCCACAGAAGAAACAAAGTTACATAGGTTTGGAAAGACGTGAGAGCAAGCAAATGAGCCAAAAAAAATTATTTTTGGGAGAACTATCAACAAGTGCAAGCATCTGAATTACATAATCGTGTACCAATCGTACCTTAAGCTGTTCAAACAAGCACTTCTTAAGAATCATCATGATCACAATATTAGTATCATATTCCAAGCGGATCAGATATCAGTTTGAACAAGAAACATAACCACTTGATGCTAAACTTTTCAACAGACCAATCAATCAGGAGATGTTGGCATCAAGCATCAACCAATGATTAATGTGCTGACAGGCTTGTCAATGCATAACACACTGCTTCGGTTTACAAAGATTTTTTATATAAATGTATAAAGTATACACTACCAAAAGAAGTCTCTTATGCTCACCAAGGCTGAATTTATTTGATCAAAATACAGTAACAATTTTAAATAAGTGTTTTCTGTTTTAATACATGAAGAGTTTGGTTCCAAAACGCTATAAATCCATTTAGATTAATTTGAGTAAAAATTTGTTTTCTTTACCAAGAAAGTGGCAAGATGAAAACCATTTTCTGTTTCAAACTTTCACATAGCATCTTTAGGTTATAATAACATTAAAAATTCAAATCCAGATTTTGATTTTCAAAGATTTATTATAAAATGTTATTATTTTTTTCCCAAAATGCAATACATCCATGACACGTAAAAGTTATTTTTCATATTGAAAATACACAACATAGTAAGTTGATCCACATATGACAGCCTCTGAACTTGGTCAATACTATTCTTATATACAGGCACTGGACTAAAAATACATTCAATCAGTCATCGCTCCCAAAAAGAATTCAACGGGTCATCTTGTTAATGCTATAAATTAATTACAACAATAAAAGAAAATGTCATCATGAACATACATGAACAATTTTTTGTTTGTTTGTTGATCACAAAGTACAAAATAGATGAGGAAAACTAGGATGCCGGGTGTATTCAAAGTGCCGCCATTACTGTCTAGAGTGCGTGGAGTGGTGCGCTGCGATTGGTTGAGCGGATATACCGCATTCTGCAGAAAAGGGAGACTGGCGTTTGTCGTGGTTTGGAAAAAAAGGGAGAAAACATGACAGAATAACTCGGCGGATATCGCATTTTGCGTAAAACTAAAAATTGACTTTTCAATACCGACCATATACAATACTGATTTTGGCGGAAACTCCATTTTTAAAAAAATGCCGTTTATCGCGTTTTGGAACCAAACCCTTCATATTTTGAAATGTAATTTACTCCTGTGATCAAAGCTGAATTTTCAGCATCCAGTCTTCAGTGTCACATGATCCTTCAGAAATCATTCTGATTCGTTGCGCAATAAACATTTATTATTACAATGTTGAAAAAAGGTGTGCTGCTTAATATTGTTGTGGAAACTCAGATACTTTATTCAGGATTTTTTTGTTTAAAAAAATAATAATTAGAAAAAGAAATCTTCAACATTACAAGTATTTACTGTCACGTCTGATCAATTTAATGCATCCTTTCTGAATAAAAATATTTATTTCTTTAAACCCCAAACTCTTGAATGGTAGTGTATGCTGTGTGAAAAAAAGTTCAGTAATTTTATGCAAATGTCATCATTAAACTATTTCAGCATTAATTTTGGCATTATAGTGGTATGTGGCAGTTATATGTAATATTAACATCCATTTCATGATTGAAATTATCACAGCTAGTGTGGAGAACAAATGCTTAACTACTAATTGACCATAAAAGACGGTAATATAGCGTACACATTAGTTCAGGAAAAAAATTACAACTATGTCTCATTTGTGAACATTAGTTAATGCATTAACTATTAACTAACTAAAAACAATACTTTCACAGCATTTATTAACCTTTGTTAATGTTAGTTCAGTCGTTAGTTTATAGTGCATTAACTAATGTTAACAGACACAACTTGCCAGTTGCATACAACTGGTCATTAACCTGATTTTAAAAACGTCACAAACAAATGAGACCTTAGTGCAAACAGTTACCCAAATGTCATCAATTTGAAACACTCATTCTGTCTTTTTTGTGCAGCAGACCAGAACCAAACCTTTGACCTTATAAATCACCTGAAGCAGCAGCTCTATTAGTCAATGACAGATGATGGATCACATGGCAGATGAAACAACGGTCATGAAAACAGACAACAACCCGTGATTCAATAGAAGTAATTTCAAGGCTTGTTTATAAGACAGAAATGTTAAGGTGATCTGAACGTCTAAAAAAAAAAAAACCCTCTCCCATAAACATTTGAAAGAAAAACAGCAGTGAAGGAGAAAGTTGTGAGACACCTGCGGTGATGCTGGGAGCATCACTAGCTGTGTCTGTTGGTTCACTCATGCTCGTCGATGGGGCAGAGGCTCTGTGGAACCTTCCGGTTCCTTGTCAGCGTCAACCGTGCTGAACAGAGTGAAAGTGTGGATTAGAGGGGATGGGGGTCAGGTGATATCAGGGAAAGAACAACACAAGGCAGGAAATTAAATTACACAGCACTGTGGATAACAGTTCGGTGGCTCTAACAAATACAGCATTTCATGGTGTGCGGCTCCCTTTTAATTGATTTACAGTACAAACAAGATTAACGACATGGTGTATTTCAGTGAATCTCACAATAACGTGTCCAGGTCACACTACAAATATGTTGTGTAAACTATTTTTAAGACCATTAAGTGTTTTTTTTGTGTGTGCATTGTGATGTTATTTTCATGAATATTTAAACACATTTCCCACTGATTCTCATGACTAATTTTGGTGTTTCTTTTTTTTTGTCATTTCTATTATCCTCAATGGTGACAGATATCATTGAATGATTTTATTAAATTAGCATGTGGGTCACAGACAAAAAGGGGTTTCATGCATCAGAACCAAGCGGCAACCTCCCGGTCTCTCGCTTGAAAGATGTCACGCCAAGGCAAAAGGCAGTAGCTTCCACATTACATGCAATATTTGGGTACTGATCACCATTTACAGAATCATTATAGTAACATCTATATAAAATCTAGTGATCATTGGCTAGGCTATAATATATAGTAATGTAATAAAAAAACAATTCTGACCGTAACAATCAGACAAAAAGTTAAACGTGAGTGGATACCGTTTTGCAACCAATTTATTTGCAATGTTCGCTAACATTAAAGGATGCAAGACATACTTAGCCTATTGTCTAAATGTGAATTTTGTCACTGTTTTGGAGCACACTGCCTTATAGATAACCTTAAGACTAACATATTGATTGAACTTTTTTTGATTTCATGGGGACTTTAACCTATAAGAACGACTTGTGGATTGATTTGAACGCCAGCTGGAATAATGCTCAGAATGATTGTGAATTAAACATCTCCTATGACGTTCATTGCAATGTTTTTTATCGAGTTACAAGAAAAGGTATGAAACGGATTTAATTGCGTACAGTAACTGATTTTATGTGATACGCTGTCATGGCATTTGACTCCCCACACGTGCAGAAGTGGGCAGCCCTAGACTGAGAGCTGGCATCTGCATTATAAAAAATAAAAAAAACTTTAAAGATTATTTACAATTATTCTTGCCAAGTTATCTAGTCGTTGCTTGCTTACATTGCTTTGTTATATGGAGCAGTCTGTTAGATCGCAATCTAATTTGTTTGTCTAAAGAAGTGCCGACAGATGTATGAAAGTACACAAGTCACACATTAATTATTGTTGCCAAGTTATCTAGTCGTTGCTTGTTTACAGTGCTTTGTTATATGGAGCAGTTTGTTAGATCGCGATCTATCTAATTTGTTTGTCTAAAGAAGTGCCGACAGATGTATGAAAGTACACAAGTCACACCGTAATTTAAAAGCGCAGACGTTAATGTACAGTAAAAACAGGCAGAATACCGTATAACTCCAGGCTGGCACAGTATTATAAGTGCACATAAACACACACAAAACTCAAGTACATATGGAGGGAAGGGTACTTGCAGACCAATCACAGCGCTTGCGGTCTGCGTAGAATTGACACGCTGTTAGATTTTTGGAGAGGTGCACGTCAGGCTACGGCGTATGGGTGTGCATCTATGCGTAAGCTACAGCATAGGTCCGACGCAGAAGTATAAATCAGCCTTAATACTGACGAACGGCTAAACAGATGCAGAGCACTGTAACTTAATTTGAGCGATCTAACACAAAGTCAAAGAGCGGTAACTGATACTGTGTTCTGTCTTGGTTTCTCCTGGGCTTTTCTCCAAGATACTTATACACACGATAAAGGAGGTCATATATGTCCCAAAATTATCAATAACACATTTCGACCAAAAACGAAGTTATGGTGTTTTGTCTTTGCAAAGCAGCACTGCTGTCACTATAGACGGGCGTGGTTTCAGCAACTAGCGCCTCAGCTTCACCCACGTCCCGCCTTTTTGCCCATTTTCAATTATCCGGGAGTGACGCAAGGTGACGCGCTACCAAGATGGCGGCGGTCGGCTCCGCTCACTTTATGCTTCAAAAATGCTCTTCTGAACCCTACGAGTGACGTCACGGACACTACGTCCATGTTTTTTTACAGTCTATGATCAAAACAATGAAAGTTTAACACCGCTGTAATTTTTTCCTCGTCATTAGAATACGTCTTGTTTAATTTTTTAGTAAATCATGGTAAAAAATGTATCTCTATCATATATTTTTACCATGATTTACTAAATTGTCATTCAGTGTAACAAGTTTATATACCAAAAGTCTTGTCAGGCATATTTAGAACAAGAATCATTAGATCATTTTAAAATAAACTATTCAAGGATCACAGTGCAGCCCCCAAAATACTAATTAATTGTCATTTTAAATATTTACCGATCTTTACCACTATCCTTCTAACAGCTAGGTTTTACCAATGTCAGCAAGAAGTTTTTAAAGGGGTCATATGATGCGATTTCAATTTGTCCTTTCTCTTTGGAGTGTTACAAGCTCTTGGTGCATAAAGAAGATCTGTAAAGTTGCAAAGACTAAAGTCTCAAATCCAAAGAGATATTCTTTATAAAAGTTAAGAGTCAGCCACACCTACCTAAAACGGCTCGTTCTAACACGCCCCAACATACCTACGTCACTATGTGGGAAAATTTGCATAACGCCGCCCAAATGTTCACGCAAAGAAAGAAGGTGTAACTTTTATTCTCGCTGTAGTATTGTTGCTGCCGCCGCCATGTCGTTAAGGCGCTGTGTGTTTTGTTGTTAAAGCAAAACTACTTTGTTAGGTCTTCCAAAAGAGGACGATATCTGCTTCGTCATGCCTGGAGCTGATCCGTGCTGGTCGCTGAGGAAATACAACAACTTTG